CCGGCCCGTTGGGCCAGCCGCTGGCCCCCTCCCTCCCGCCCGCCCTCCCCGATAAGGCCGCCCCAACCACTTGCCCAAACCCCGGAGGGGGAGGGCGGTGCCCGCTGGACTCACCATTCACCTGCTGGGGGGAGTAGGCCTCAGAGCCCGAGTCTGGGGGAGAGTCCGGCAGTGTGCTGCGGGGGGGAGCCGGAGGAAGGGCTGTTGGGGGGCAGCTGAGCCCTCTCCCTTCCAGCCGGGCGGCTCCTCTATGGGAGTCCAGAGACTCCCAGAAGCTGGGGTCATTGAGGCCTCCTCACACCTACTCTTAGAAGTGTTTCTCTACCCACCTTGGGGTGCCTGGCAGGGCCTGGGTCTGAATTGTGAGTGGGGGGCTTCAGGGTCCTGCCTAAGATCCCAACTTACTGGGGCATTTGGGGTACCTAACCAATGTCCCTGTTGATGGCCCAGAGATGCAAGGACCTCCTCCACAGACTAAGGGGCCGGCCTATTCCTCCTTTCCTGCACCCACAGAAGCCTGACAGCTTCCTGGAAACAGAGGGCCATAGAGGGCTGGGTCTGGGGAGGCTCAGCAGGTCACTGGAGGCTGCCCTGACAGAGGCAGGTGTGGGCTGGGCAGGGAGCCAGATTGGTCGGGCCTGGGTATATATATTTTTTTCTTACAGGTTTTATTTTATCAGTGGTTCAGGAAAAAGAACAAACTCAACCCCAGAGGTCAACATGTCCTGCGTGAACCCAGCGAGGGAGAGACTCCAGTCATGTGACCAGCTCTGGTCATCCCTGGTCCCCACGTAGGTAGACTCCCCACCACCATGCCCAGGGCCACTGAACTATCTTGGACACAGTCCTGGGCTGATTGCAGAAGCCCAGTGCACCCCTGGACAAACCACCTATGCACATTTGGGGCCCTGTTTACATATCTATAAAACAGATCTGACAATATGAACACTGCAGGTTTTATGAGAATGATACAAAAAAGTGAACGGGGACTCACCCACACTCTGCACCACAGCCTCAGGCCTGGCAGGCTGACCCAGGCCTGTCCAACCCCGGGTCCACCATCTCCTGCCCACTCCCTAAACCCCGTGGCAATAGCCTTGGGTTTTTCTAGCTATTTCGTCAAGGTTTTTCACATCCTTCAGTCCCTGCAAACACCCCCAGTCCACAGGACCTTGCGCTCCTTCCTTATTTCCTCTCAAGTCTCCGTATTCCTCTGTTCGGTGATATATTGATGAACAACCCTCTTCCCAGCCAGGCTGCAGCCCACTACAGGAGGGACGTGTCTGTCTTGCTATTGTCCAGAACAGGGCTCCGACCACAGGATTCCTGTGTGGCTCCGGGTAAGGCCCTTTCTCTCTCTGGGCCTCGTTGTGCCATTAAAATTGTGCTGTAGGGAGCAACCGAGATCCCCTTTGGGGTCCCCTGTGATACGGAGAAGGTTAAGCGCACACAGAGCTGTGACAGGCACAGTAGCAGGTACTCGGCAGGCACTCACTAAGTGTTTGTTTCTTCCTTCTGCCCTCTGGGTCAGTGGCTTACAGACAGCCTCATGGCCTCAGCAGGCAGTCTGACTTCTGTAGCAAAGGTTCACCCCAGAACCCCAAGTCTGGCCTCTACTGCCATGCCTCCACATGCCAGGGAGCTCAGGGAACACTGCCTGTGGCTGCATCCCTCCACTCCCTCCACCTAGCGTGACCTCTGCTCACCCTCATTCAGTTTCCGCCTCCAGGGATAAGCTGTTTGGGAGTTGCTGTATGGATAAAGAACCTGAGGCCATGACAGAGGCCGTGAGTTAACTAGGCACATGGTGGGCCCTGAGCGGGAGCTGGGCTGTCCGACTGCAGAGTTCACGCACCCACATTTGATTATTCTTCCACCCTGAGACAGGATTCCACATCCCAGAACTTTCTCTGAGCTCCTCTGAAGAGTCCAGGCCGTGCTCCCCATGAGCACATGCCAGGGAATCCCAGGCCGTCTGGTAGACCAGTGGCCACCCGGAAGCTTTGGTCAAAGCCACCCAGCTCGGGTGTGAGTCAGCCCACGGTGTGGACTCCCAGAGAGATGCAGAGAAAGGGCCCAGGAAGGTAAGGCTTTATCGGGTAAGTTCTGGGCTCCAGACTCACTCGGGCAGGGGAGCCTGAGGGACTACATCTGAGCCATCGGCCACTCCCATGGCCAACGTGTCGGCTTGATGTACAAGGCACTGGATGGGAGTCAGCACAGTAAAGGGCATGTAGGTGCCCTGCGTGTGTGTTCACACGTGGGTGTGCACGCGCGCACGTGTGTAGGTGTTCCCAGGAATGTAAACTTTCGGAGCCTCCAGTCTCACCCCCTCCATCCACGGTCTACCCGTTCTAGATCTGTCTAGCCCTCTAGATCTGTCTAGCACACATCGCTCTCCAGCTCAGAGACCTTGTGGCCCCTACTCTCTTCGGACAAAGCCGGTGAGTTCCCCTGAGCCTGTCCCTGTAGGCCCCTCCCCATCCCTTCCCTACTCACAGGGCAGCCTATTGCCCTGGGCCCTTCCCACACCCTGCCTTCTCTGGGTCCCTGGATCCTAACCCCCACCCCACTCCCTGCCCTCACTCACCCTGGGGCATAGGGAGCCTTGGGCTCTGCTTTGATGGGGGGCCCAGAGCCCCCCAGGAAGGGCTTGGGAGTGGTGCCCATGCCGTTGTTGTTGTTGCAGTTGAGTGGGGCGCAGTAGCTAGGGGGTGGGAGGGGACCATGGCGCCCTGGGGAGGGTCCAGCCCCAGGGGGGCTCAGGTGGTGGACCCCGCTGGAGCTGGGGATCGCTGGTTGCCCATGGGGGTAGGAGGCCGCACTGGCTGGAGCAGAGATGTCAGGGAAGCAGCTGCGGAGAAGGGAGGAGGCTCAGCCACAGCCAGGAGCCTGGCCCCCCTGGGAAGCAGCCGCCCCCCAGCCCATGGACCCGGGCATACTGCGGAGAAGTCGGCCCTGGGAAAGGATGAGAGGCAGTGCCAGAGGTTGGACCACCTCACCGCCCGGTCCGACCCCACACCTTCCAGGTGAGAGGCAGAGGCCACAAGGGGCAGGGCTCAGACAGGGCTGGCCGAGGGGCAACTCACAGGTCGGAGGCGTCCTCCTTGCTGATGTACTCCTCCAGGATGCTGGTGTCGATGTTGGAGGGCTCCAGGGCACCGTTGATGTCATGGCCTGCATGGAGGGGCGGGGGCAGGTAAGCATAGAGAGGGCTGGCTCCTGAGGCCTGGGGCTCCCAGGGCTAGGGCTCCGCCCGCACCTTCTCACTCTGAGCTCTTTCCCCACCTTCCACTAGACACCCCTCCAGGAAGCAGCTCCGCCCTCCACAGCCCACAAGGCCACCACGAGTCTTCAGGGAGAGCAGAGGCCCAGAGCATGGAGGTGGGGACACAGACACCACACACTCCTCTCTGAGCCCCTTTCTAGCTGTGGAAAGGAACCAGGCCCTTCCGCTCCTCTGTGAAGTGGGGTTACTGGGAGCCTGACAGAGCCGTGATGGTACCAAAATGCTCTGCAAGGCTGACCCACATAAGAAGGTTTCAGGTTCACGTCTGGAGAGTTCCCTGAACACGCCAGGCACACGTGCACCCATGCTCCGGGGCTGGCTGCGGCTGCTGGTGGATCCCAGCATGAGGACCCTGTTGAGTGCTCTCTCTTTCCCGCTTTCTTTCTCTTTTTGGAGAGATTTTTGCTATAGGGCACGTGCACTTGCCAGACAGAGACAGAGAGACAGAAAGCGAGAAATCACTCCCCAGGGGGGATGGTCATGCTGCAATCCCTTCTCCTCCATTCTCCTCTCGGGATCTTGGGCACGCATGCACACGCGCCTGGCATGAGTTTTAAGCCACCGGGTCTGGGACTCGAACCGCGGTCGACTACGTGGGAGTCCAGAGACATAGCCATTATGCTAACTGCTGGGCCCTCTCTCTCTCTTTCATACTCATGGAAGAAAGAAAGAAACTTCAGGCCAGCCAGGTGGCGTGGTGGTTAAAGTGGCTGGATCCCATGTGGCTGACTGTGTGGGAAGAGTCCCAGACCCAGCAGTTTAAAAATCGCACTGAGGGGCCAGCAGGTGGTGTAGTGGTTAAGGTGCTGGGCTCTCATGTGGCTGACCATGGTTTGAATCCCAGACCCGATGGCTAGAAACTCCCTACAGGCACATGTGTGTGCATGCCCAAAATCTTGAGAGGAGAATGGAGGAGAAGGGATTGCCATGTGGCCATCCCCCCTAGGGAGTGATTTATCTCTATCCCTTTGTCTCCCTGTCACTTTCTGGTGAGTACATACACCCAACAGCAAAAACTAAAAAACAAATAAATAAATGGGGTTACTGTCCTTGTGTTTAATGGGGTGCTATGAGGAGCAAATGAGGTGCTTTATCTAGGCGACTGCCCAGTGAGTGCCCACCACCCTACATGGCTGGCACCTGCAAAGGCTGTCCTGCCCTATCTTCCTGTGACCAGCTCCAAAAGGCCCAGCTGCAGGCTTGTGGGAGCTGAGGCCTAGCTGGCTGGGACCATACATCCTGAAGGACTGGTGGGGCTCGGGGAGCCTCCTGTACCCTGGGTTCCTGCTGCAGCAGGGAGTGGGGGACAGGTTAAGGAGAGGCCAGCCTCACCCCATCCTCACTGGAAATACCCATCACCCCCTGTGTTGGGGACTGTGGCGCTTTGTCCCCCATCTCCAGAGGAGGCAGAGGCCCAGAGAGGTAGGGTCTGGGCCAGCCTCACAGCAAGTGGGGAGTACTGGCCTCCAGAGCTCTGCTCCTGGCCTGCCTGACTGTCCAGGGCCTTCCCTGTTGGCTCTAGCCCTCTGAAAGGAGGGACTCACAGAAAAGGCGGCCCAGCACTCTCAGGCTTCGTGAGGAGAGGAGAGAGCAGAGGGGGAGGCGCTGGCCTTTCTCCTCCCAGGGTCACCTTGCGGGGGGAGCCGAGGGCGGGGTGATAAGGGGGCTGACGTAGGAGATGCGTCAACCCCGATAGTGGAGGGCAGCCCCACCCACACTGCCAACCCAGGTTGGCCAGCCCATTGAGGCAGGAGAGCCCCTCCTGCAGACCTCGGAAGCCTCAAGTCTGGGGTCTGCCCCTCACACATGCTCCCCCTGATGAGACCTGGAAACAGCTCGGACAGGGCCAGGAACAAAACCTGGCTCAGCCGTTCCCTGCTGCGTCACCTTGGGCAGATCACACACCCTCTCTGAGCCTCAGTCTCTTCATAAGTAAAAAGGGGACATGAATGCTTCATGGAGCCTATAAGTATGAAGCAAGATAAGGTCTGTCATGTGCCTGGCACATAGTGGGTGCTCAGCTAACAGTGGCTATCTTCCTTCTCCAGGCCCCCAAACCCTGGGGTCCCTGGGAGCCCCCTGCCCAGGCCTCTCCCTGGCCTCCGCTGGCATTTCAAGAATGCTGAGCCCCGCTTAGGTGATTAATGAGCGGCTAAGCCCTCCTAGGAGTCACGAGCTGCCTGCGACAGGCCAGGGCCCTCTTGCTGACCCCCACCCCCAGCTCACCCAGCTGGGAACAAGGGACACCCACCAAGCGCCGCCAATGACCGTCCAGGGCCCTGCGTGGCCGGGGCAAGATAAGCTTCTCGCGCTGGGATGACCAGTGAACATGCCAAGGCTCCAGACGTCCATCTCTGCCCGCGCCCCCGCCTTGGCCTTTCCTGGTAACCACAGTTTCCGTTTATTGAGGGCCTACTGCGTGCCAGGCGTGTTTTGAGTGAAGTCCATTAACAATCACGGGGGTTTACTAATGTAAGGCTCTGAGGCGCTACACACACAGTGTGTCACTTAATCCTACCAACCCATCACGGTGACAATAACGGTGACAGTGACAGCAGCTCACACCGAGCCCCTATCAGTACTTGTAAACTCGTAATGGTGACGATGACCGTGACGGTGAGTGCCACCCAGGTCCCCACCAGGCCTGGCACCTCCTCAGTGCTTTACATTCTCATCACAGGATGAGAGTACCTGGGTACCTGGAGTTTATCATCACCCACCCCTATTCAGAGAGGGGGAGTCTCTTGTCCAAGGCAACACGGCAAGAATGCGAATCCAGGCTGGGAGCCCCGCGGGTCTGCGTGGCTGGCGGTTGCTGTACCTTTCCTGGCTCACCTGGGCCACCCCACCCTACACAGGGCTAGAAGGAAGGATCAGGCACAGGGAGTGGGTGGGGAGCGGCACTGGCGTCACCCTGACCCCGGCCGCAGAAGCTGCAGGAATTTTGGAGACTGAACTTGGAAGCTGCAGTGAATGATGGACTGCTGAAGCCCTGGTGTTGCTATTTATAACAGGGCCCAGCCCCTCCTGGCCTCCTCCTCCATCCCTGGCCAGGAGCACTCCTAATCACCCCTAATCCTCCTGCCCACCTCCCCCAGGGCAGGGGGCCTCAGGAAGAGGCATCCTGGGAGACCCTAACGAGAACCAGATGTGGTTGGGGGCGGAGGGACCCTCCCGTGCCAGGGGCCGGGTGGACGGAGGAGGGAGGAAGCAGCCCTTGGGGCAGGGTGTGG